TATATGGTCCTGATTTGCAGTAATTAATTTGAGAAAGAATATTAATCTTGATGTGTATATACATATATACATATAAGGGGAAATGTTTTGAACTGGGGACATTCTGCGTACCGGCATATTGTTTCCGAGACAAAGCACCTGCCAAGTGCGGTTTCTGTATCTTCGTCAGTACTATTTATATGTGTAAATGTCAGTAAGTAAATAGTTATTCACAAAAAAAAAAAAAAAAAGGCTTAAATGACTAATTTGTTTTCTAAAATCGAGAAAATCCGGAAATTTCTAGTGCAACTCGCGTAAATTCTGAAGAAAATATTGCAACTTTGAAAATCTAACTCAATCAAATTCTGCAATAGGGCGTTCTTCCACTAAATTTTGAAATAGAGGGTTGTTGAGGGTTTTGCTAAAATCGAGAAAATCAGGAAATTTCTAGTGCAACTCGCACAAATTGTGAAAAAAAATATTGCAGCTTTGAAAGTCTATCTCAATCAAATTCTCTAAAAGGGCGTCTTTCAAATAAATTTTGAAACAGAGGGTTGTTGAAAAGTTTTTTGAGATAGGGCGTTTTCGAACTGGTTGCCTAGATAAGTTGATCTTCCACTAAGCAGTGAGACTAATGGTGTTTTCGTTTCTACCAAAAAATGTCACCTTCTGATTGCCCCTTTCTCTTTTCGTGTGTGAATAAGGGCTAAATTTGCAGTGATACCCTTTAACAGGGTAAAGTGTAACAACGACATCGCTATAAGTATGCTCGATTTGATGTTCCCAACACTGATAAGTTATTCCTCATCTCTTGCCAACGCAACGACGACCCTTTTCAGGGGTATGGGAATGTCTTCTATACCAACATGACCTTCCAATAAAAGAAGTTGTGTTTGAATTCGCTAAGCCATATCGCGTTCGTAAATATGTATGTAGCTTTTGTTATATGCTTCATCGTATCATACGTGAACCAAAGCCGAAAGAGGGTTAATGTAAACAAATATACGAATTGTTTACATTTAAATTTTCAAATAAGCGTACGTCAAATATTGATTTCACTTTGTTTATTACATTATGGTTTGATAATACTTTTGATTGGGGTTGCTACCTATTTCTTTTTTTGAAGGCCATCAGATCTGCACCGTTATTTCGAATTTCCGAAATGAGAACTCAAATTAAAAAACTGGGATTGTACATGATACAGATGTGAAATAAGGTTTTATAGTTTCAAGTTAGAATTTTTGGTGTCATAGTGATTGGAAATTTTATGAACAGAAAAACCGACACCATGCGAGACCTCTCTTCACTAAGAAATGCCTTTATATGAATCATTTGGAAAATTGTTTGGGGGTTTGAACCTATTTAAAAAGCTAAATTTAATTTTGTCGTTTGAACGCCATTCGGACTCACTACATAGTATAATTATTTAAGCTTAGCTCATTATGTCTAATGCAGCGTTTTTGCTGCATTTAAAATGCAACATTTAGCACTTTCGAAAATATGATTTCGAAGAGCGTTCATGCTATCGCATTTAGTAAATGTACATTTACGCGAGTTCGAAATCTTATGCTTTTGACAAACAGCCATGTTCCAGTCGCTTATTCAGATCCGTATCTATTACGATGAATTCTCACGTAGAAGATAATGTGCAAAAAACCCTACTGAAAAGGAAAAAATTTATTTAAACCAAAAATTCAATACAAAAACTTGAATTGTTTTAACCATAAGCGAACATTTGTTTGTGTATATATTCATTTGTCGGTGCTGTCAATTAAAATTTCCTCACTTAATTAGGAAATAAAACAAACAGAGTTGATCTTAAATTGAACCAGATTTCTATCAGCATCATGTGATGTTGAATTGGCGTAACTTTTCTTTATCCAAATAATGTAAAATAATAAATGAAATTTTGATCGGCGATCACTGAAACGCAGCTAGCTACTGTATACGCGAAAAAGCAATGTTGCCACTTTTTATCATTAAACCATGTTCGAATCGTGAAAATTTTGGAAGACACAGGGTTGCTTTTAGCATTTAGATTCTTAATGCAAAAATGGAGTTGCATTTAGTTGCATTTAGGTGACGAATTTTGTATGGATAAATGTACATTTATAGTAGCATTTAGAGCTAAATGCGCTAAATGTGCTTTTACGCGTAAGCAAAAACAGCCCATAACTGAACGTTCTAACAAAGATGTTTGAAATAGGGGTACAACCACCCCCGCTTACTATGTAGCGGTAGTTTTCGGAAAGGTGAAAAAACTATATTTAATACTTGCGCCGGCTAGATAATGTTCGGCTCCGCCGAACTTTTTTATTTGTTTTAATTAAGAACTTTTTTTTACCGGTATAAGATGATTTGAAATTTGATGAAATTAAAAACCTGCACTATGAGAGACCTCTCTTAATTTAGAAACGGCTTCATGGATTAAGATAAAGTATGGCATTCGGATCGTTTATAACTCTGACTAACATTTGGATATATTTTGGGGTTTTGAAATTCAACCAGATGAATATCTGGTGGAGGGAATTTTATCGAAATTACATAATTTTGACTTTCCCGTTGAACTTTAATCTTGAGATTGCGATGAATTTAAACCTATCGTACAGTGACCAGGCGCTTTTATTTTATATAACTCAATATTATCTCTCTGTTCTTTGTTAATTTCTTGTCAATTAAAGACGCGGCTTTTTTTAAAGCGACCGAAGTGACACGATATCTTTGGAAAGCTAAATTCTTCTAATATAACAAAAAAATAATACGATAGAATAGGTAATTTAGTGTTGTGGTAATTGTTTTGAAATTCCGTAGGAGCTTTAGAAAATGTTCAATCGACTTGTTTTCACCAAGCTGGACGAGTGGACCTCGCAAAAAGTTTTACTTGTCAAACATGAGTTTTTATACGGTAAACTATTTTTGACTCCTACCTCTTTTTTGAAATTTTTTTAATAATGGCCTTTACTTGCTTAAGTTAACACTATATGCATACACGTTCCAGTAGAGGTGTCAAACTATCGATGGTACTATCGATAGTATCGATAGTTTTGTTTTTTTGCCCCTATCGATGAGTAGTGATAATTTTTCTCAAAAAAGGTTAAACTATAGTACTAGTTGACTATCGATAGTTTAAAACCTCTAGCACAGCCGATTTTACTTATAATGTCTCCATGCAGCTGCGCGTCAGTTTTTTAAGTTTACCAATTTTTTGTTATAAGTGATACTTTCAATGTGATTCCTCCTTTAATGGCCATTTTCTCAAGCAAACTTTAATTGAAAAGCTCCCTTTATATTTAAACGTTGCTTCAAACCATAAGGTTATATCTGAAGTAAAGCATTTCTATTATCGGTGTTTGACGTTTGTATGTTTCTTGACTGTAAACAAATCCAAAAATTATATTACGAAATTTAAACAGAATATATCATATTTGAAAATGTATAATAAGCAACAATTAAAGAAGGCAACAGTGATTTTGTGGCGGCAAATGATAAAGCTGTTTTTCATGCTGATTACGAGTCCGTAAGCATAAGGTTTCCATCAGCTCCAGATTTTAAGAAAAACGAGGTCAAAGTGTCAAAAAATCGCTTTTTTTCCAATATTTTAGCAGGTCTAGCACAAAAAACAACCTTTAGAACCTTTAACTGGGGCTTAAATTAAAGCTATAACTCTCGGCTACTACCCCTGCACCTTGACCTGATGGTCACTAAAAGTCATTTATTGAACAATATAAAAATACTGGAATAAATACTGTGCTATTGAAAAAAATAAATAAGTTTTGCCAAAATCAGTTTTTGCTGTTAAATAAATAACTATAAGTGACCTTAGGGTTAAGGTTCAGGGATGGTATCTTAAGCGATTGTAGTCGAAAGTTCAAACCTTAATTTCAGCCCAAGTGGAAGGCTCCATCCCCTTTTCTTTAATTGCGGTGGGTACTCAAACTTCGCACAAAATCAGGTTTTGCTGTTCAATAAATGACTATAAGTGACCATCAGGTCAAGGTGTAGGGATGGTATTTTCAGAGATAGTAGTCGGGACTTCTAGCTTTAATTTAAGCCTAGTACCCTTTTGATTCTTTGTTAGAGCTTCTAAAATATTGCCAAAAAACCTCGATTTTTTGACATTTTGACCTCGTTTTTCACAAAATCTGGAGCTGATGGAAACCTTATGCTCATGAATTCGTAATCAGCACTGACAAGTCAATCGAAAACAGCTGTAACATTTGCCGCAACAAATTTTTTCACATTTTTGTTGCCATGTGTTATAGATCATAAGAAGAAGTTTTCTTTACTAGGCTCATAATTTTATTTTTAATTGTAAGCTTCAGTAATAGATATGTAAATAAAAAAGTAAAATTCGATAATAAAATGCTTTACTTAGACAGAAATATACATGTTAAAGCAATATTTAAACATAAAGTGAATTTTAAAGTTAAAAGTTACTTAAGAAAACGGCCCTACGTGTGTTTATATTTTCAATATTTTGTTTTTTTGTTTTTCGAAGCCGTCCCTGTTAATTTGGAAGAGTTTTTAACATTACATTGACTATCGATAGTACTATCGATGGTAGCGTTTGACCCTATCGATAGTATTGCTGGAAACTATCAACGAGTAGTGATCGTTTTTTTCTGAAACATGGAAACTATCGATGGTGGCACTATCGATAGTTTTACAACTCTACGTTCCAGTTTCCAGTGGACAATTGGATATTCTCAAACAAATGGGCACATTTTTTGTATGCAAAATAATCTGAGTTCTCCACTTGATAACACGTAGCTTGGATATCAATTTGAATTCGAACATTATTCAACTTTTATACAAAGTTTGGAAAAAATTGGAGAAAAATGTTTTACATCCACTTGAGAATCAAGTAGTATTTCTTAACGATTGCAAAAAATTTGAAAAAAAGTTTGCTTTGTGCATATTGGGATGCTGCTAATGGTTTGATCGAAGTTGTGCCAACTTACATACGAACAAGTGAGTATATGTACATATGTGTATATGTATGTATGTACGTATCTACAAACCTCGTTTGTTTCGGCGCAGTTGTTGTACAATAGAGACGGTCACACGTATTTGTGGAGTTAACTGTTGGAAAAAAAATAACTATAAATATATAATTTGTTCAAGTAGGTTTCAAAGTTAAAGTGTTTACCGTCAATGGGTCCCCACAGGTTTTTGCGGTTTTAGCATCGTCGTCACTGCTAGCGTTATCTTCATCAGTATTGTTTGGGTTAACCTTATATAAACGAAGAATAGCGCTGTCCAGATTTAAATTTTCACGCTTCGGTTCGAAGAGACTATCCGAGAAACGAATCGTTACGTTGTTGTCATGCATCCAAGAGCTCTCGGTGGAGTCTGAGTTACATATGGGATATGCTGCCATTTCGTGAAGGGGGTGACCTTGATTCTCATCAGAATTACTCGTTTGAAAAGCTGACTGTAGGCGATTCTTTATATCATTGATGCTGAAAATATAAGAAAAACCATTGTTTTTAATATATTACGAAAATGTAGCCCTTTTGTTAGAGACACACATCTCTACCTGGGATCACACGATTTGTACATTTGGCTAAAAATTTGTCAAATTCATAGACAAATCATGTGAACGCTAAATTTCATTTGTCATTTATCAGAACATCCAAATATGTATGTATTTGCCTTCTTGTGGCAAATAAAAAACAATCCTGGTAGCCAAATCGTATGAACGCAATGCTGCTACATAAGCCAAATAAAAGTTACGCAAATGACCAAATATCTGATTTGCCACTTGATGACAAATGCCAGTGACAAATATACAAATATTGTTGAGCGTTATTGCCAGTTTGTTAAATTGTTCGTGCTTGCGAAGCTTTGTGTTTTCCATTTTTGGTAAAATTTTAGGTTTTAATTTAATATTCGTAACCGAAAAACTTCCGAAAAATATCATGTTATTTGAAAATAATTTCAAAATATTTTTTTAAACTGAACATTTGAAAACATGTACTTTATGTTGTTGCGAGTAATATTCCACATATTGAAAAATATTTCAACAAAAAATGTTAATTAATTACCATAGAACAAACCTTTGGTCAGGTATATGCATTTCTTTAGTATTAAATATATTTTAAATAATATAAATAGAGGTCATTCGTTATTTCTGTTTAAACGCTATGTATTTCAGTCCTCTTTCATATGATACCAAATTTGTTTAATTTGGACAAGCCGTTTGTTTATTATCCGGAAAGGACTTTTATTTTGGAATAATATTCGCAACAACCCTGATATGTACATATTCGGCAGTAGCTGAGTGTGCAGAGAAGTGTGCGACTATTTGTAAGCTTTCATGAGGTCCCAGGTTCGTATGCCGGCAGACGAACATATTAAAAATATAATTAATTGATTATAATTAACTATGAAAAAGCATATGAGGCATTCTCTGCAAAAAAAGCCACTCGAAAAAAAAAGTTCTTTATTTTTTTGGCAATGATATATCTTATAGTATATGTAAAAACTAAAATAAAAAATATGGTGTTAGGTCTACGTAACGCGGAGTTGCCATACTGGCAGGGGTCAAAGTTTTTTGCAAAAAAATTTTCGAACCGCCGTAACTTTTAAACGAATGAACGGATTTTAAAACGACATTAGACTTTTTTGAACAAACTTTCCTAAACTTTAAAACTGTGTATCATAAAAAATTTTTTAAATTAATATTTCATAGAAAAAAATTTAATTTTTAACCTTTTATGCCCCCTTAGATTTTTTTCAAAAATACCCAAAAATGTTCCTTATTTCATCACCTTTTCACCCCCTAAAGGAAATTTTGGGACAGCAATATTTGTATGAGTTACAAATAAAAAACCCACTCAGCGCAACGCTCTCAATCCGAGCAATTTCTTTGTTTGCCTACAAATTGCAATAACTTATCAGCAGAAGAGAAAGGTAAGTAAAAAACAAGTAATTTTTAGCAAAAAAAAACCGACTTCAACTCCCATATAAAATATATATATATATATATATCTCATGATCTACTGATCGGATCTCAACCAGATTAGTATGGGACTACCTCTGAGATACTACCTTTCCGATGCAATTATCGAAATCGGTTGACGTGGTCCAAAGTTATGCGGTAACATACATAAAAAAAAAAAAAAAATATTCCGACGAACTGATAACCTCCTCCTTTTTTGGAAGTCGGTTAATAAGACAAGCAAACAGGATTCCTTAGATTTCAAACTGTCGCTAGGATGAAAAATCATTGATGTATGGACTTTTATTATCTGCATTTAGCGTAACCCAGGATTAACGACGTGGACGTAGCAAACATTTAATCCCTTTTTTTATTTCTATTATATTATACTTTTTTTGTATTCTTTTTATTTGTTTTTGGTTTTTTAATTAAAATTATTACGTACTTGAATCACGCTTTGGTGGAAAAACTACAGATTCTTCTGAAAAACTAAATGTTTTTAATAACAATTCTTCGCTACCGATAGGTATAAAAGCGTGATACTTTTGGGTGCCACTGATTCTTTTTGATGAAGAAAATCTGACTTTCAAGGAATTTTCGATCACATTGTGTTCTTCTTTTGAAGAAAAATACACGGAGGTCCGTTCAAGATTTTTCTTCGCCCAATTGAAAAGAGCTTCTGCTGTCAAAATTTGTTGGGAAGGTGGAAGGTGTAAGCTCGCTCGAGCTGCCAATCTTTTGAAATTTCCACCAATACCGTCACAAGGACCTTTCCCATGTGCAGTTTCATGGAAGTGCCATTAAGCATCCACTCCAAAGTCCTTCTTATGATTCAACAAATTAAGAAAGTTAAATCGATTCTTATAATGTTGTGCTGCTCCATCAGTAAAATATATTATTTTATTAATCGATAAACTTTGCTCCTTTAAATGTGTTATAAGAATTTTCTGGAAGGCATGCACAGCTACAGTATTATGCGTGAGATCATCAGAAAGGACAACTATACTATTATGTTCAATTTTCTGATTTTTAACATAATAGTACACAGCTGTATGAATGGAAACTTGATTGTTGTTCCAGTGGAATGACTGAGCAGCATTTTGAGCAACGAATGCATAGTTCTCTGCAAAATCACTTAGTAATAGCAGATGCTCTAAATAGCTTGCTTGCTGTCTAGCAACAAAATCGTGATTCCTTAAAACTGTCATTTTCTCATAAAAAGTTTCAACAAATTCATTACTATCCTGAACTTGAGATATCAACATTGAACGGTCTGTGCTTTCCCAAATTTGAAACTTAATTTTATCAATTTCGTTAGACTCGAAAATCTCATTTAAGTGGTCTTTTATAATATCAATATTATTTTCGCAATGACATTGAGGTGTAGCATTTTCACAGATTATGATTTTTAAGCAATCTTTATAAGAAGTAAGTTTTAAAACACTGGATTTAGACAAAGAGGGTATAGATGCTCCGTCAATCATTAAGCGCACATTTTCGTGGTAGGTACATACACAAACCGAATGTGTTCCACATGGTCCCGCAAGAACACAATGCTTCGTTCGCAATCGGGTGAAGGTGGAAAATCCGATCTTACAATTCGGATGTTCTAATTTAAAAAGGTAATAAAGCTCCGAAAGATTGCATAAAATTAAACGCTTCTGTACATGAACACGTTTTCCATCGGATTACTTTACAGAAACGAAATCTTTTTTACCTGGCAAAAGACGATTATTTGTGTCCGTTTCATACAAACTAATAACCAACGTTTTGATTTCTCAGATAATGAATTTCCACTAATTTTATCGCTTTTTCCTTCTCTTGCTTGTTTGACAAGTTGGCGTGAACATCCAAATATCTTTGCTACTTTTCTTTCTCCCCATAAATCTGGTACCAGCTTTAATAATTCATACTTTTCAAATCTACCAATCTGTGGATCATTGAATTTATTTCTTAGCTTTTCAATAATTTGTAGCAAATCAGCGGAAGCATTACCGTTATTAGTAGATTTATCATCCTTAGCAAAAGAGAAATCTGAATCAGATTCGTTCTCAGACTCAGATTTATTCTCATACTCAGAAGATGCAGAAGATTCAGGTTTAGATTTACGTTTACCAGTAACTTTAGGCCAACCTTCTTTCAAAAGCTGTTTACGACATTTGTCGCACAAATACAAACTGTGAGGTACGTTTCTTCCTATTTACTTTACGCACATTCTTATTTTTATGACATTTAAATTTAAAAGGATTATAGCACTTAACAAAAGGCATAATTAAAAAAGAAGCAAGTAATGAGTAGCGACAAAAAAATATTTACTGTAGAAAAATCTTCCAATGCGATAATCGTAGAAAATGTTACACTTTATTAGGCACGATACTTATAATATGAGTGAATAAACTCGGCTGTAAGAAGGCATACAACATTGCCACCTAGTGGAATTTTAGAGTACTTGAATTCTCCGACTTAAACTAGAATTATCAGTATTGGACAATTTTAAGGACTTTATTTTTCATTTATGGACATGGAATCTCTTATATTTCTTTTGCAAAATTCCTAAATAATAATTTTTCTCACATTTAGTAAAGCACGAAGGAAATAGATAATAATATAATGTAGTAGGGATGACAGCAGAGCATTTGCTCGGATTGAGAGCGTTGCGCTGAGTAGGTTTTTTTATTTGTAACTCATACAAATATTGCTGTCCCAAAATTCCCTTTAGGGGGTGAAAAGGTGATGAAATAAGGAACATTTTGGTGTATTTTTGAAAAAAATCTAAGGGGGCATAAAAGGTTAAAAATTTAAAAAAAAAAAATTAATTTTTTTCTATGAAATATTAATTTTAAATTTTTTTTATGATACACAGTTTTAAAGTTTAGGAAAGTTTGTTCAAAAAAGTCTAATTTCGTTTTAAAATCCGTTCATTCGTTTAAAAGTTATGGCGGTTCGAAAATTTTTTTGCAAAAAACTTTGACCCTTGACAGTATGGCAACCCCGCGTTACATAGACCTAACACCATATTTTTTATTTTAGTTTTTACATATACTATAAGATATATCATTGCCAAAAAAAATAAAGAACTTTTTTTCCGAGTGGCTTTTTTTGCAGAGAATGCCTCATATGTGAAGTTAAGAATAAAAAATTTCAGAAAAACAACCAGAAAAGTTTCCCAAACAATCGTGCCACTTTTCTTTTCACCTTTTATTCAGTTTTCGGATCCATTTCCGGATTTTTTGCTGGCTATACGCATATACGTACATGCATATACAGATTATTAAAGACGATCTAAATTACACTGTGTGACAAAAAAAATTTCTATACTTTTTCGACGTTCACATGTGTTGTAGATCTAATCGAGCAGAAAAATCTGCATACTCAGAATTTTAAATAACCCTCAAAATTCTGGGCTCAAGGCCAAAAACCGCGGTTATTCATAGGTTGAAGCATAGGTATACTTGCTCGTGACTTTATTCCTGTTTACCCGAGGAAAAATACGTATATATGTATGTGATTTAAGATAAG